CTGTGGTCCGAGGCCACGGGCTGAGGTGTCTCCTTCCTCTTCACTGCTTCTGGAAACTGCTACTTGTTTGTCCCCATAGACTCGGGCACTTTATTTTACGTGGTTTCAGTCCCCTGTGAGTAAAACAGGACATGTTATCAAGCGGGTAGAAATGCTCGCTCTCTTCCTAAGTGAGGCAAAGTAATTTGTGATCCCATTATGAAAGGGTGTCTTAGGAGTCTTACGTGTCTTAGGAGTGGTAGGAAACCAAGCCAAAAGGAATCTCAAGAAATTGTTTTACAGGTGGAATTCTTCCTCTTTTTTGTTTTTCCTTCACAAGTTGCTCGCTGTTGATTGCAGAAAGCCCCAGCTCCATTCCCGACTCAGCACAGGGTCCCGCTCGGAGGCACAACCCCTTACTCCTGAGGGGGAAATTGTTCTCAGAGGGAGTGCTTGCAGGAAAAACCCATTCCTGGATCCTGCGTGCATGTSGTGTGCCTGGAGCGCCAGCATTCCCTGTGTCTCGGCTGGCCTGGCCTGCTGCTCCAGGGAACATAGCACATCCCATAAATGCATGTCACTTTTGGGAAGCTGATAATGGGCGCAGCAGTTTGGGTGTTCCCTGCTCCCTCGCTGTTGCTGCCATCARGGGCCACTGCCTGCTTCCAGTCGGGCGGATTCATTCCAGGGCAGGAAGGGCTTTCCCAGCTTTCTGTGGACTCGGTCTGCAAAGCGTGAAATTTGGCGGTGTGGGGTCCCGTGGCTTTCAAGGAGAAGGGAAAAAAAAGAAGGATCACGTGTGCAGGCTGAAGCATTCGGAGCAGAAAGATTACTTGACCCTTTGTAGTTCTGCTTTCGGGGGCTGCAAAAGAGCTGCTGCGGTGGGTGGTGGCAAAAGGCGCCTGTGCTCCCTGCACAAACCAGCACGTGCGGCGCTGGAAGCGCGGGCTTATCTGCACGGAGAATCAGAAGCTGCATCATCCTCAAAAAATGCCTCTTTCGGATGCCTCCCGCCCCAATTCCTGGGATTTTCAGCAAAGGGACATCCCCTTTAAACTTGCATTTCTGCTTCATATCTCTTCTCTTTGAAGCCAGAGGGTTGGCTGGCCCCCGAAGAGAAGAGGATGAGCATCTAGCAGTGGGAGGTCCGTGTCTTGCTAATAAACCTTGGCCAGAGAATCGGCTCTGACAAGCGGGGACAGGTAGGGGCGTCTCGGCCCTTATCAGCGAGCGGCGGCGGGCGCGTTCCTGCAGCGGCAGCGGGCGGCTGCCAGGTGGGGCTCCCGCCCGCGGGCGCCCTCAGACCTTCCCCGGGAGCTGCGGGCCACAGCCTTAACGAAGAGCAACCGTATTTCCGTACAAAACAGTCTGTTGTTCTCCTTTTTCCCCTMGGTCCCTGCCCATTTGGTCCTGCTTGGATTCGTTGTGCAGTTTTCTCACTCTTTATGGATGCTGGGAATGCGTTGACGGGATTTTGGAGGACCCCGGGTTGTACTTTTGGCTCAGTGTGTTGTGCCTGGTGGCCAGGCAGGGCACAGCCTGCTCCTGGCTGGGTCCTGCCCCACGTCTGCTGCTAAAAGCTTCTGCCACCTGTAACAAGCACCACTAATGCTAGCGAGGCAGGTTTGGGGTTAAATCTGCAGAGATCACCCAGGTTTGGTAAATCCTCTGCCACCGCCAAGCAGATAACGTGAGGCAAGAGATTGCCTCGATTAGATTAAAGTTGGCAAATTCATTGTCCCAATCATCATATTGCCCTTCCCATGGCTATTCAGAAGTATATCACCGTGACTTACTTGAAGTAATTGAATATAATTATCTTTTTAAACGGTGTGTGTAAAGCATCCATCTCTGCTAATGGCGTGYGCGGCTGTTGTGCTGCCAGCTCCTGCTCCCTTCAGCAGGGCTGGGAACAAGAGGCAGAGCAGGGCTGACGTTTATGAATTGGTAGTTGATTGCCTATAAAAACCGTTCATTATTTTTGACCAAGCACCTGGAAGAGACTAAAAAGGAGCCACACCACCCGTCGTAGCCGGTAGGTTTGGCTGGTGCTCCAAGGAAAGGAAGCCCCGAAGTTGAACGTGTCGAAGGGAAGTCACCAAAAACCATCGCTTCCCTCGCCTTGGAGCGCRTGGCTGCGCCGGGAGGGGACGTGGAGAGAGAAACAGGCGCCAGATACAAGGAGAATTGTTGACTCTCCCGCTGCCCAGGGAGGTGGAGATGCCAGAATGAGCCCAGCGTGGGAGTGTGAGGGAGTGCAGGGGGATTTTTCTCCCGTTAATAACCAGAGGTGTGAGGAGAGAGGAATTCTTCTCAGGTGTTGTTTRTGTTAGCTGGGGATGGAGACCAAGCAGCAAACACACCAGCCTTTRTTTTTCCCAGCACTCCAACATGACAGGGGAAAAACTCTTTTTATTTTTATTTATTTATTTATTCTTCCACAAGAATTACTGCTGTTGGCTTGGGAACCAATCATCTGGTCTTTGGCAGGTGCAAAGTAAGATGTGCTGGGCCTGTTTCTAAGACCTTGACGTTTGACCTGTGGTCCTCCCTGGCCTGGCCTGTGCCCGTGGGCTGCCCTGCTCCAGGGAGGGCGCTCAGGGGCTCCGTGGGGCTGCCCACCCTGTCCTGATGCACCCGGGATGCTTCCCTGGGAACGGAGAGCTCACCCAGCACGGGGTGCACCGGCTGTGGGCTTGSGCGGCCGCTCTGCTTTGGGAGGCTGCAAAGGTTTTCCTATAGGGCTGTTTTCCTATAGGGCTGTGCAGGTTGGACTAGGGGCTGTAGAAGGGACCCTGCTCCTCTGCATTTAGTTATACAACATAAATACCGGGCTGAGCACTGCAGGAGGTCTAACCTGGGGGCTCCTGCTAGCAGGGGTGTTTCTGTTGCCCRTCACGAGGAAAGCTGCACTGAGACAGCTGGATTTTTGTGACCATGCTTGGTGTACGGTGACACAAAATCCCGGCCCTTGGATAAGTCCCACGGGGAGAAAGAGCACCCTTGGCCTGTAGAAGGTCTGTGGTGTCTCTGGGGGATGCTGAGGCCTCTTTGCCCCCTCTCTCAGGTGCCACTGGGGGACAGCAGTGTCCTCCCGGTGGGCAGTGTTCCTGTGCCCGGCAGCGCTGCGGGATGAGCAGGGATTGGGGAGTGCTTGGGGGGTGCGCCCAGGCGGGAGGGGCATGGGACTTTTGGCGCTGGCTGAGCTGCCTTGCTGACCTGGAAAAGCGCCGTCTGCCTCTTCATCTGAAGCCTCCTTTCAGGGGCCTTTCTGTAGCAGCTCATCCCTACCCTGTGCGAGCCGAGGGGGACCTGCTCTCCCGCCGGAGCAAAGCCCAGCGGGCGCGAGTTTATTCTCAGGCGGGGGGAGGCGGGGAGGCTCCGCCGGCGCAGGCGGTTAACAGGGGCCCCACTGTGTCCCGGCGCTCGGCGGGCTGCAAAAATGCTCCCAGTGTGTCGGGCTGCGCGTGGTGCCAGCGCCGCGCTGCTGCACGCAGCGCGAGGCGGCTCCGCAGCCCGGAATACTTTCCAGCCCGGCTACCTTCGCTGAGCGCCTTTGAGGCGGCTTGGCAGCAGGGTTGTTTTTGTGCCGTCTCTCACCTCCGGCGGCGGCCGGGCTGACGCGCTTGGGCTGCGATGGGAGCGGGAGCCTCTCCCGGGAGAAGCGCTCGGGGATTTCACACGGGTTTTCCACGGCGGAGCCGAGAGGAGCCCAGCGTCGCTCCGTGGAGTCGGCAGTAGCTCTGCTGCAGCCGCCGTCGTGGATGCCCGAACCTTGAGTCTTTCGTAGGAAAAAGAGAAAGTTTTGGAGCTGCTGGAGTTTGCTTAACGTCGGCGAGTGATTTCGCCCCAGTCTTGACGCTTTTGGATGGAGCTTTTCCCGCGTTGCAGAGAGATGCTACCTGTCGTGGAGGCAAGTTACRGAGGAAGACGGAATGCGAGCCGGGCTTAAGGGTCTGGTTTTGGTTGTAATCTCCAGTTACGCAGAAGGGCCTCTGTAAGAAACCAGAGGGGAAATAGGAGGACTTGAGACAGCATGAGGCAAACTTTAATCACGATTTTTTCTGCCTGCTTGTACGGATGGAACAAAACCGTCCCTTTTATCTTTAAAACCGATCCCTGATAGAGATGCGGGGATCGGCGGTGTTGCAGATGGGGCGAGCCCCATCAGAGGGTATTGCGGGCTGGCTGCCGAGGCGCCGCTAATTGCAGCGCTTCAGTTTCTGTAATTTTTGAACAAAAGGCCCGGGCGGCCAGGCCGAGTTGCTGGGGTGGCGTGGAGAGAGAACCTGAGGGGTTTTCTAGCAGCCTGGCTTGTTCATGTATTCTTGCTGTGACTTTTGGGGTCAATAATAAATATTAAAACCTGTAGATTTAATAAGTCAATGTAGGTGTTCTCTGCCTTTTGAGACCACTTTATCTTTCCATCAAAGATGAAACAAGCTTCTCAAATGAATAAAAAATAGGGCCTCAAGTGATTACAAGTGAGAGCAATTTGGGCTCCTTTCTCAGAACCTGGCAGTAGGCATTTTTGAGCCACTTCTGGCTGCCTACACAGTTTCCATTAGTGCTGCTCTCGCTGYAGCATTTTAGGTAAATATTTCGAACCGATGTGTGCAGACCTTCAGGAAAGGTGTTTGCTGCCAGTGCAGGCACGAGGGGCAATGCTGGTCTGGATCCTGCCAGGCTCKGTTGAGTCTGATTTGCGCTGCAAGTCTAGTTTTCCTTGGTGCTTCTTATAATCTCCTCGAGTTCAAAGAGCGCTTAGCTGCTTGTCTTTGTCAAAAACCCTGTTGGAGATCTTTTATGTCGAAGATGTAGGATTTCTCCGCATGACTTTGATTATTTATTCATTCCACTTCTCTGGTGTATGATAGCGCTGATATCATGAAGACCCCTTGTCTTGCACTGCTCTTGCTCTGAAATTCATGGAGATTTAGTGCCTTTGAAATTGTTTTAAAAGGAAAGGAAAAGTTTTTGAAGTCCCTTTTTTTTTCTTCTTCTTCTTCTATTCCCCTCAGCAGTTCCGCAGCACATTTTTCCGGCCTTCCACGCTCCTTTGCCCATTGACATGCGCCACCAGGAAGGAAGATACCATTACGAACCTCACTCTGTCCACGCGATTCACGGGTAAGTGTCGCATCTCTGCTGCGCCAAAGCTCGGGCAGGGTCGGGCCGTGGCCGGGCCGGGCGCTTTGGGTCCTGCGGCCGCCGGGCCTGGCTCTTCCCATCCGCTGGCACCGCTGACCTGGCTGCCGGGAGCGCTGCACATCGCGGTTCGACCTGGCCAGGGCCTGTGGCTGCGGGACAGCAGGGCAGTGCGTTTGTGTCACAACTGGTGTTTAACAGGCGCAGAAAAACCCGCTTCAGGAARTACCTGGGTCACTCCTGGTGCTGTCTTGGCAAAAAAACACCGTGGCTTCCTGTGTTTGGAGACCTCACGGGACTGTTCATCCCTCCCTCCCGCTTTGGGGAAGGGGAAGGGTGTGCTTTTCAGCATGATGTCCTAAGGTGGCTGCTCTGGCAAGGCGTGCGGCGTTCTCACAYGCTGTAGAGACAGGTCCTCAGGGGGTGTTGAGGCAGCCGTGACACGCTTGGGAGAGGGCCCTGGCGTCGGGCGACAACCTCCTCAGGAGAGGCTGCACTCCCCGGTCCCTGGGAAGGACACAGAGGGGCTTGTGCTTAAGCTCCTAGAGCRAGACTGGAGTCCTGGAGTCCTTGCTGCCTTGGGGAGCCACGAGGACACTCGTGCTGAAGGCCGAGAGACATCCAGGCATTGGACAGGTACCCGGCAGAGGAGAAGACAGGTGGGCTAGAGACCGCGCCACCAGGGCTGGCGTAGCTGCGGGCTCCCCTCTGAAGGGGCAGGTGCCCGTGTGGAGGGCTGCACTGCCCTGTCCCTGCTGAGGCACTGTGTGGTGCCACCAACCACCCGTGCGAGGAGCCCTTTGCTCAACCCGTGAGGCAGGGAAAAAGGAGCAAGGAGCTCCTCTCTTATTTGCTTCCTCTGTTGTTTTCCAAACAGTTTGGAAAGCAGGACATGGGAGTCCTGCTGTGGCCGAATCGCCCTGCCTGGACCGGGACTCAGATGCTCTTGGGGGGCCTGTTTGTAGAGCTGGGCTTTTTCTGGGGAGGTACAAGCGTAGGAATGGCCCCTGGGAGGGCCAGTGCTGCAGATGGCAGAAGTCAAGAGATCTACGGGGTCACTCAGGGCTTTATTCTGCTTCCARAACACTGCAGGACAAAACAACAGGGCTTGCCCTGTATCCTACCAGGAGACAAGTTGSTCTGTCTTTGCCTGGCAGGCGGTTTGGCTGGTTGTTTAAAGGGACACAGGAGCGCTGTCCACGTGGAGAAAGAAAGAACAGGTTGCTGACGTGGGGAGCTGTGTGAGATGGTCCTGACCTTGTTCATAAATACAYGTGAAACAGTAGAAAAAGGAAATAATCCAAAATACTTTGGGGAAACTATTAATAAAATGTAGCTATATCTGCAGAATATGTACAGAACATGCTAACCTGTAAAGGTGTAAATATTCAAAACAGTAATTAGAAGAGAGGAATGGAAACGACRGTTGTTTGGATTAAGTTATATTTGTACCTCTAAAAGGTGAAGAGCCCCAAGTTGCTGCTGTAGAGCATGGTTAGGTCTGTCCTCTCCCCTTGCTGGATGCTTGGAAATCGCACTGCAGCCCTGCTCTCCTTCACTCCCGGATCAGCAACACTGCATCTGTCCTGTAGAGCTGTGGAGCAAGGACTTCCCCAAAAAGCAACCTAGAGCTCACCAGCCGCTGACATGTGCCCCAAAATTACATCTGTCAGGGGAGTAGTTGCTTTTCTAGTAATCTTAGAGATGCCCAGGTGGTCAAGAAGTGCTGRTAATCCACTGTCTTAGCAATGGCCACACTTTTCTTCTTGGGAACCAAGAGCTGCTCTACTTAGGGCTCAGCGTAGATTGAAGGTGGCAAACATCTACCGCCCTTCCTCAGCATCCTCCACCTTCTCAGAAGCATCTCTCAGCAGTGACTTCCAAGGTGTCTGAGCTTGGCTGTAGGTCTTAGAAGAGGAGAGGTTTTCCTTGGAAGCGCTGGGAAGCTCAGCCTGCTTTCCTGGCGTGGTGGGGACCGGAGCAGCAGCTCGGCCCTCGCCTGCCTTCTTGCCGCAGAGGCTTTGGGGGCACTGCRGACCCTGCGGAAGGCCCCACGTTTYGAGGACCGAGGGAACAATTGCAGCTCTTGTGAATGTGCCTGTGGGTTAGCACTGTGTCCTGGCCCGTGTCCTCTGTCGATTATTTTGAATTAAAAGAGGATTTGCTTTAATTTTGGAAGATTAATTAAGATATAATTTTAGGGTCAAGAGAATGCAACTGCTCTCCAACTCTCCTTTCCAAATGCCTTAGGGTGTAGAACAGTTGTACTGAGGGAATTCTTCACAGGCTGTAGCGTTTCTGTTGACTGGTTTTTGGATGTTTTTATTTGTTTTCAGTTTTATCTGCAAACATCTCAGCTTCATCACCCTCCCATTCCTCTTCCACTTTCCGTGTTGCTCGGCTTTGATCTTTCYGTTCTCTCCTCCAGTCTCTCCTCTGGAGACCACAAGGTAGGGCTGACTCTCCTCTCTGTTGGAGGAGATCTGATGTAAAAAGCATCCAGAAAGTGGTGGCAGGGCTGGACTAGAGCAGGCCTAGCTCTTGCATGGCCCCTGGTCGATGGGCTGCGCTCTGCACACACGGTTCAGGCTCTGGAAATGTGTGCTCCATCCTGGCAGTGCAGAAATCCATTCTTCTATTGAAAGTGCAGAGCTTTAAAAAAAAAAAAAAGTACATTTTCATTCTAGAAGAACGTAGTAAATATTTGGAGSGAAATTTGAACCTCTGAGTTTTGGCTTTATGGTGAATGTGATCGGTGCCTGACAGAGAGCCCCCAATTCATCAAGACCATATTCTAGCTGTCTGCTGTCTTGCCGGTACCAAATTTATCTAATTACACGAACATTGCACAGCAAATTAAGTGGAGTCTCGTTTGTTGTCAACTCTGGGGTCTTATTATCTGCCTGCTGCATTATGTCAAAGGTTTGTTTCCTGATTGCACGATGTGGTGTGGCTCTGCATTCCCCCTCCTCGCTGCTTGCATTTGGTCTAAGGAGAGCCTAAGTTATTTTAGCCTCCCTGTAGGGATCTCGTCTGCAGGGTTCTCTTGAGTGGGACTCTTTCCTTGGGAATATGGGAGGGCATATAGAAAACTTAAATAATAGAAGAGCCATGTGCCCGAACAAGGACCTTYGGCTTTCCGCTTGTTTTGTCTATATTGATCTCTGTCATTTCCTTGTTAATAAGCATGAAAAATGTGTCAGGGCTCAAGTCTCTTTACAAGTCACTGAGCATTTAGTATGTAGGTGCGGTCCTGAGCAGATGCCATTGGGATAGTGCCTTGAAGAGCAATTCTAATGACTTTTTTGGGGGTAAAATAAGGATTTTTTTGGAAGTGGTGGCACCATAAGAACATCTACAGAGGCCTTGGTAGAATAATGGGCTTGCTTGGATAGGAAGAAACAAATGCCACTTTCATACCTTTGTCTGAAATGTCACGTTCTCTGCATTGCAAATCAGTAGGAACATTATGGATTTAAAACGTCAGAGTGGATTCTAATAGATGTGGGCCCATGGTCATATGGGGAACAGAGAGATAGGCAGGTGCCAGCGAACAGTGGGAAAATATGTAACGCAGGATGCAGTAAACCTGAAAACAGGACGAAATCTCATTCAGGAGTGTAGAAGTAGAGCAGAATGAAGGAAATTGTATCAGCAAATATAAATTGTATGAGGCATCTCTTCCCCCAAACAACATTCATTTAATGTTAAGATTGCAAAATATAGCACTCAAAGCTAGGAAATGACAGAAATAAATTTGCAGATTCCGACCCATTCTGTATCCCACTTCAATAATGCACTAAATTACACAGCCACAGACTGTTTTTCCCTGCGATCCCTCTCTTTTTTGCAGAATGAGATGGCCCAGACTCTGTGGATGAGTAATGGCAGGTGGTGTTTTTTGTGGTTTTTTTTTTTTATTTTCCTGTATACAATTTTTATTGATTTGTTAGAATTTGACTCCGCACTGTTGGTTGGAGGCAGAGCATAGATCAGCGCTGAAGTCGTCAGCCAGGGTGCTTCAAAGCCRAACCAAACAAATTCACTTCGTGTCCTGGAACAGGCCCCTTTCTAACAAAGGGGATATTTCACATTTTAGTGAGCTGCTTCCCCAAAACTTTGCTCCTCTGGGGCCCAATCTCTAGCAACAACTCCCTTTGCTTTAAACCGAGGGGACTCTTAGTGTCAGCTTTGCAAAATCAAGTCCTTAATTGCAGGACCACGTTCCAGGCGGAGACAGCAGGGGATTGCTGATGGATCCCTGCGCCTCCCCTCTTCTAGGTGTGCTCAGTTGCTCGTTTCTAAAAAACAGCACAACAGAAAAAAAAAAAACAGCAAAAAAAGCCCTTAGCTCAGCTCAAAAGTCCCTGCCAATGCAAAAGCCTCCGGGGCTCCCCCTTGTAAACAGCATGCCTAGGCTTGACTCAGCAAGAAGCTTTTTAACAGTAGCTCCTCAACGGTGGTTGAGACCCATCGGGCATTACGCAGTGCAGCGAACAAAAGCAGCCTTGTTTTTGCAGCGGCATCCTGGTGCTGCTGCAGGAGGCAGTTCTGCCAGTATTTATTAGGCAAACGTTGTTGCTGCTCTGCTGTCCTCCTGCAAAAATAATCATAATAAAAACTGAGCTCATGGAATCACACGGACAAAGGCGGCAGGAGCGTGAGGGGCCGCGGGTGTGAAAYTCCGTGGTTTTCATGAGATGTCCCAAAAGACCTAAAGGCGGAGAAGACTCTGTCTCCATGCTAATGTGGAGTTGCCCTTAATTTCCCTTTGGTGGGGCTTTTATCTAGTTTCATCATGGATCTTCCTCTGCTTCCCTGAGATCTTAATATATTGCAGATTCTCCCTGATATTCAGCCTACACGTTTTTCGTTATCTGATCCCAGGGCCCCTCCTTGCCAAAGTTTGTTTTCTTTCCACCATGTTAAATATTGCAGAGCGCCCTTTCAGGAGCAGCTCCCGAGCTGCCTCGGCAGAGCAG